TCATAATGTCATCTAACCATCCGTTGATATGACAGTAAAGGATGAGTCAATCTAAAGACTCTGGTTCATCGGCTATGTGGGATAGAGAGGCTACGAATATTTTTTGTGATTTATGCGTAAGGGAAGTCGAATTGGGAAATCGACCCACAACTTTTTTTTAATAAAGAATGTTGGCATAATATCACAACTAAATTTAAAAAAAAATTATATCAGAAGCGGGCAACATTCGTCATGATATGATTTTACATTTCAAAGTCAATATTGTTATATTTTTCCTTGTAATTTTAACATGTTATTTTTTTTTGGGTCATTATAATCCATATTAGTGTATGAATGTGTAATGAACTTTCATATATGTCACTGTGCTTATTTGATGTAATCAAAAGACAGACATATTTTTTGAATATTAATTAGATTGTTTTTTTTATTACAGGTTGTGCCAGTGGCCAAAAAATTCAAATTTAATGGAATTGAACGAGCTTTGGAGGAGAAGCTGGATGAGATGTTTACTGGTGTTGTAGCAACAGGAACTCATTTTTTCACCCCTAATGAGCAGGGTGTTGCAAACCTAGCTGAGGATATAGAGACCGAGCATATAGGTGATTCAGGAGAAGGGCCCAGCCAAATCCATATGGATATCCAATCCACTGGTGGAACAAGGCGGCCTCGTCCTGTAAAAAATAAAAAAGGCATTGCATTTGTTAGAGGTTCTATTGAGACATTGATTGAAATTTCCCAAAAATAATTCAAAAACTGTGAAGGACAGCACAATCCATGAGTGTGTTAAGATCCTTAACACATATCCTGGCATTAAGGAAGACCACGATATGTATGTTAAGTACGTGAAGTTGCCAGGGAACTCTACCCGGAGGCAGTTCTTTGAGACTTTAGACCCAGAATTTCGTCTTCCTTACTTGCGCTCTTCTATGAAAGATTGAATGTCATTTATGTAACTTCATTGACTATTTGTTTGATGGACTCTTTCAGTCTTTTTATTTATTTATTTGATGAACTCGTTCTGCACATTGTATTTTAAGGTGCTTCCTTGAATATGTTAGCTACATATCGAACTTTGGTGTTTACATATGCACATACTCTTTCTATTCCATTGTCCTTTTTTATATGTTTTCTGATATTACATCACTATTTGCTATATGGTTTAAAAGTTTACGTTCCTTCCAGATTTTGTATTATGGAGGAAGGGCAAATTAATCAAATCCGAATTGTTACTCTCACCCTTACGTTGTTATACCATTACTACAACACATATGTAGATCGAAGCCCATGCATGACGTCCAACAATATTGGAGATAAATGGATCGGAGTGTTATTACATGGTCACCCGATACGTTTTGCAAATATGTTTCGTATGACAAAAGCCATTTTTCTTGACCTCCTACCTAAATGAACTTCCCTCCACGGACTTCAAGGATCATCAAGAACAACATCTAGAGAGGTGTTGGCTATAACACTCTACATTTTGGCCCAGAACGAATCGATGAGAGGAGCGATGGAACGGTTTCAACATTCTTCCGAAACCATTAGCAGGTATTTCTCAGCTGGGTTGAATGCACTGTGAGTCTAGCCCGTCAAATAGTCAAGCCAGAGGATCCAACATTCCAGCCCATTCCCACACATATTGTGAATGACCCTCGTTATATGCCGTTCTTTAAGGTGCTTCCCATATTTAAATGTTAGTTAATAAAATTTCACACATATGATTTTATTATTGATTAATTCGTTCATATCAGGATTGTATCGGAGCTATTGACGGAACACATGTCGACACACGTCTTTCTGGCAAAGAGAAAGTTGCGTACATTGGACGATGCGGATCACCAACACAAAATATAATGGTTGTTTGTGATTTCAATATGTGTTTTACATATGTGATGGCTGGTTGGGAAGGTAGCCACACGATAGTCCCGTTTTCAAGTTTGCTACTAGCAACATAAAATATGGTTTCCCTTATCCACCACCAGATATGATAATCGTGTTGCGCTTTTGACCATCCTTATTACTTCAAAATTTCTTAATGAAAAAAAAAAAACATTGCCCAGGTAAGTACTACTTAGTGGATGTCGGGTATCCTTTGCAAAAGGGCTATTTGAATTCATATCCAGATACAAAATATCATATACATGATTTTAAGAGATCGAGCGGAGTTGCACGAGGAAAGAAAGAAATTTTTAACAAAAGACATTCATCTTTGCGTGGTGTGATCGAGAGATCGTTCGGGGTTTGGAAGAACAAATGGGTAATTCTACGTGATATGTCAGCTTATCCATTTACAAAATAAGTTCAGATTGTAGTGGCAAAAATAAAACTACACTAGACGACATCATTCCAGGACAGATGCAGAGTTTTCCGTTATAGAAGAGGATTCAATGGAAATACCACCTGAGGCATTTGAATACCATGTTGGACTTTCTATCCCACAAATCGATATAGATTCACTTGAGTCACAAACACCAGATGGTGAAGGCGCTTCAGAGATGGCAGGTTTGAGAGAGCATATAGCAAACGATATAAGCCAAGACATTTAGATTGTATTACATATTATGTCTTTCAATTTGAATACCATGTTGTTTGTTGTTTAAGCATGAACATCGAAGTTGGAGCCTTTTTGATGTGCAACAATTTAATTATTTTCAGTTGTGTTATACTCCAAAGGTTCAAGAAATGCAACAATTTATTTTTTTGGAGCCTTTTTGATGTCTATATTGGAGCAGATGCATGTTCTCAACAAAGTATTCATCTAACTTTGTCTGGATCATTTTTTAACAGAAACTTTTTTGGAAGAAAGGACACTTTTGAGTTCATACTTGCATGAAATAATTCTCTGAAAGAGTAAATTGTTCATAACCTTAACATGAAGTTTAACATTTTTGTCATTTGTCTTTTCTAAACTACAATTTATGAATTTAGCTCAGATTAGAAGGCTACATGAAATTATAGTTTGTATGGAACTAATAGGAAGATTTACATACATGCCAAGTGTATTTCACTTTGTTTAAAAGTTAAAATGATGGTGTTTTTGATGTGCCGTGAATAATTTGGGTGGTATAAATGTAAAGTTCAAATTTTTGGGTGTTAGATATGTAAGTAAATAGGAATTGAGTGGTATGTATGTAAAAGCCACTTGAAATTATTATATTTGATGTGGTTGTCACATTTTATCAAATAGTTTTTTGTTCTTAGACTTTTATGTTGAATATTTGTCCATTTTCATTGTTAATCCAGCACTCATGCTTGCCCTGTTTGAATTTTGTGCAGATATGGGTTTCTTTCTTTGTGTAATTTTGTGCAGACTGACTGAGACTGCATGATGTTATTGTAAGAAGTGTAAATATCATGTAGGAGTTCTATATCTTGATTATGAAGCTTGGTTACTTGAAGCTTGGTTTTGGATTTCTATCGGTTCTATTTAATGGTTATGATCATTTTTTAATAGAAACTTGTTTGGAAGAAAGAAAACTTTTGAGTTCATACTTGCATGAAATATTCCTAATGTTGGTTTTCTGTTTAATTGTACGTCCAACTTTTGGGTTATGTGTACTGTGATTCCAGCTTGTTATATGTTCAGAATCTAAGCCGGGAGCTTGTTTTCTTAATTTGAATTTATGCTATGGTCCTATGTCCCTTGTAAGAGAGTAATAAGAGGCCTTCTCTTTTATGGTTGAATTAATGTGGTTATGTTTCTTGGTTCTATTATACATGGGAATATTGTTTTCTCTTGCACCACATTTAATTTCAGTAATTTGTATGCTACCACTCATACTGTTTCAGATTGATGGGGCATACTGTTTAATTTCAGTTTTGGTAAAGGATGCTAGTTTTTTATCCTATTACTAAAGTTATTTCATTTTCCTTTTTTTAATATTAAGTGTTAGATGTGCAAAGACATATGAATTGAGTGTTATGTCTGTCAATCTTCCTCCCCCCCTCTCCATATATGTTTGTCGTGAGAAAGCAGCTTCGATATGTATTTGTGGCTTGGGCATAAAAATGTGCCTTTATTTGCTTCGCGGTGGTTCCTCGAGGATTGGATTTGGTGGTCTTTGAAACTTGCGATGGCTGTGATGGGGCCTTCTTCCCCAGCTAGAGTTTGATATGCTTTCACATGAAACCTTGTTAGTTCACATACCAAATCATTAAGAATTAAGTGGTATGTATGTAAATGCCCCTTAAACTTACCTACATGCTCTACATGATCAACAATCTATATCAGCAATCTCAATGCATTTTCAGCAATCTCAATGCATTTTCTTTGGAATGGATGTGGTTATTTTTTTGGATATGGAAACATCTAAATTATGTAAGCAATCTATATGTAGCTTGGATGGCCTCATGCTATGTATGTAGCTGATGGCAATCGCTGCATTAGTGCTACATATGATCCTTCTTTCATGTAGCTCTGGACTCCTGTTTAATTTGTAAAATGAGTTTTTCTCACATCATATAATATTATAAAGTTATCATTATATTTAGATCAATAGGAATATTTGATTTTTTTTTTGTCTTCATCTGTTGTTGGCTCGTAGTTAATATTTTCTCTGGCATTTTCTCATATGGCAATGTTGTAGTACTGCTTCTATCTCTTGTGCATGTGTCAAATTGCATCTATGACGAGTAGTGAGATAATTTGCCCATAGTCAATATGGCCTTTAAACTGAATTAGTCTTTCTTATTGAGTTGCTCCAAAAATCAAGAAGAATGTTGGGGTGCTTCCACCGATAGGCTATGTGGGTTTGATGAATGAATGATGATGTTCACTATGTGGGGTGCTTCTATCTCTTATGCATTGGGGTGCTTCCATCTCTTAACTCTTACTTGGTAAATGCTATGTAAATGCATTAGAATTATGTGCTATTTATGATGGTGGAATTGGGAGCAGTTCCTGCAGTTGGATTCCTGATGTTGGTTGCTTGATGTTGGTTTCCTGTTATTGGTTTCCTGATGTTGGTTTCATGCTACTGGTTTCCTGATGGTGGTTTCCTGTTGTATTTTCTTTGTTTGCCTGCATGAAGAGGGTTGTTTACCTGCATTATGATGTTGGTAAATTTCTTTGTTTACCTGTGTCGTAGCCATTCACATATCTTG